TGGGCTGAGTGGTCTACAGCACAACCAACACAAGCGTAAAAAGGATCACACTGCCATACATCAAGAAACCACCAACAGACTATTACAACCACATGAAATCAGCAGAGCACACACAAACCTTGTGCTCGGAGTGATTGGCCATCAAAAGGATACATAAACCAGATCTACCTATTGTACAAAGGAGACACTCAACAAGCCACAAAGGGAACGACTTCCCCACCAGAAATCAAGGCTCAGATGAGCATAGGGCAACTCCAAGATTTAACATCAGATCAAAAACAGGGAACAATGAGAAACTGCCAAACCAGCCAACATTAAACAGCTCAACGAGAGCATCCCTGAGACCACCCCCACCGACACCGGCAGGGCGAGGCTCTAGAACATCAACTGAGAGCAAGACCCCCCCCCCACTCCCTTCTGGCACTGATGTTACCTAGTTTGGGTAAAGAAACCTCTGCAAGGAAACCACCCAGCTGAGAGAGCATCGGGGACCCCTGAGTTACGAATATCCTCCTTTATCCCTACCTGGAAAGTCTACCTACGGAGACATCTGGAATGCGGGGCTCCTGGAGCAGGGCTTCCCTCTTCCTGAAATTCTTCCAGTGGATAAAGCAGCTGCCAGCCTTGAAGGGAAGCTGCTCTGTTTGTCTCACAGGCCAGGGCTATTTTTAAAAAATCCTAGTTGCAGTGAAGCCCTCCCCAGCCAGCCGGGAGCAGGGAGGGATGTCCAGGCCACTTCCAAAAGGGGAACAGGGCAAGGGAGGGAGCAGTTGGTGGCTGCAAGGGAGGTTCTTGTGAGGTGGCTGGAGTGAGGAATTGCCCTCCTGTCATTCTGGGCCCCATCCAGCCCAGGACCAGGGCCGGGGGAGGAGGGGTCTCTGAGCCCTGCAAGGACCCCTGGGTCTTGCTGTCTCGGAGGCTTAACAGCCATCTGCCTGCCTGCCTGCTGGGGGTGGGGATGCTCAACAGACGGGGGGGGGGGAGCAAGGCGGAGGGGGGCAAGGAGCAGAAGTGGCAGCTGGGAATTGCAAGGAGGGACTGGGAAAAGATGGATTACAGTCAGCCGATGCTGAGGCCTGGGATAGCCAGTTCAACGCAGGGGCTCCCTCCCAGCTCTGGGGCCATCTGCACAGAGGGCTTCTCGCTGCTGCTGCTGCTGCTGGCACCCGTAAACCCGTGGGGGAGGAGGCCTGGTTTCAGCGTCCCTCACCACCATCTCCTACCTGGGTATCACTTTTTTTTGGGGGGGGGAGGTCATCTCAGCATAAGGACTCTTGCCTGAGGTTGCTTACCAGTGGCTGAGTCTCCTCTGACAGCTGCAAAGGTTCACAAAGCCTCCCATATTCAAGGGGGGACGTGGGAGGGGGGTGCTGCAACCCTCAGCTCAGTGAAGAAAGGCCTTCGTTGGGCTGCTGGACCCTCCCCCCCCCCGCTGGAGAGTCTGAGTGGGCTTCCCAGAACAGGAGAGAGGAAGAGCTGGGGAGGATGGGAGATGATCTGAGGGATCATTTCCAAGCGATCCAACAGGACCTAGCAAGGCTTGGTTTGTGTGTGTGTGTGTGTGTGTGTGTGTGTGTGGCACGTCTCCTGCAGTACAAATGAGGGCCCCCTTGGAAGTTGAAAGCACACACATCCAAGGTAGACTGGCTCTGATACTGGAGGTTCAGCATGATATGTTTTCTCCATTTACCCTGAACTTCTTGCCTGAAAAGCTGGCAAGCTCCTCCTTGGGAGGGGAGCCACTGGCAGCCTCCATCCACTCCTGGGGAGGGCAAAGGGGGCAGGAACTGGACCTTCCTCAAGCACTCCTCAGTGCCCTCTAGCCTTTCAGCAGCCTTAGATCTGCTCAGAAGCAGGACAAATGTTTGGGAGAGCGATGGGGGGGGAGGGGAGGCCCCTCTAGGAAGGTCACTGGAGAATCTGAGAGGTTGCTGGGTCCTGCTCTGCCCAATCCAATCGGACCTTCGCTTCCATCTGCAGCCCCTCCTCTTACAGCACAGCCCTGCCCAGACCAGCCACCACCCAGAAAAGAGGCCAGATTGACAGCCCAAGAAGTTTTGTTGGGAAATTCTCTCCCCTAAGGTAACATGGGGGGGGGGCAGCCTCTTGCAAAGCTCAGGTGGGGATGCCCACCCAGGAATGGATGCGCTCAGGGCCGCCTTTCCTTGGTCCAGCTTTAGGCTGAAAGATGTACAACTAGCAGGGCAGCCCTGCTTGACCCCTGCATCCTTCCGCTGATCAGGACCCGGACCAGGCAGGTAGTAAGGAATCAAAGTATTCAGATCCGTTTGAGAAATGTTCCCTGGCCACATGGGATCTCCTCCCCCGCAGTCTTCCTTCGCAGCCGTCAAGAGAGCGCATCACACAAGGCGCAGCTACAGTTTGAGGGCTGCAGCTTGGCTGATTTGAAAAAGCAGTGGGGAGGGGCGCCCAGGGACTGTCTCGTGGGACCCCTGCCATCCTTAAGTCTAGCATTCCTTGAAGCCCAAGAGGCCACAGAAAAATGTGGGCGGGGCTGTCTCTGCCCTGCCTCTTGCCCCACGAAACAGTCACCCCCCCCACACACACTGCTTGATCCTCTCTGAGGGCCCCTTCCTGTTCCAAGATAGGTTGCCTGTCCTCGGCATCCATGGAGGAAGAGCCCCCTCCCCCGAGCCCTGACTGAGGCAGGCAGGTGACTGCAGCCTCCCCCCCCCTAGATCCCCTCCATCGCCAACTGACACTGAGGCAGGAGTCAGAGGGGCACAAAGTGTGTGTGGGCTGAGGAACACATGGCGCCCCTCCCCCACCTTAGACAGGGAGGGACAGCCTAAAGGACCCTGCATGACATGCCAGAGAGGAGATCCTGTCCGAGGCGGAAACAGAGGCAAAGGATATGGCAGGACTGGGGGACGCCAAGAAGCTCTGAGGCCGGCATCAGGGGCTGTTGGTGCACCCTAAGAATGGCAGCCCAGAGGTTCTCTTGAGAAATGTAAACCAGATGTGCACAGGCCAGTCCCTGATCTTAACCTCCCCTTACTTTGAATACCATTTAACCTAGGGGCAGATGGTTGCTTTGCCCCCCCCAGTCAGTTTCTGGAAGGGGGGGGAGAGCCCAGGAGAGAAAAAGGTCCCAGCAGCAGCAGGAGCACTCTGGCTCAGCAGAAGCGGGGGGGGGGGACCCTCTGGGATGGGCCCGGTTCTCTCAGGCCCAGGGAGAGGCAGCCCAACTGCTCAGCCTTTGGATCACCTCGGCCCAGTCGCTGTCCCCTTAGGAGCAGCTTCGGGCAATTTCCACTTGGAGGGGAGTAAAGCCTCCCCCCCCTGGGAAGAGCGCTTAGTCTTTTCCATCTCTGGTGGAGACCAGGCTTTGACCTCCTAGGAGCAGGCTCTCCCTCTAGGGAAAGTGGGGAGGAGGGGCCAAGTGCCCCTCTCTGTCCCGCTGCCCCAGCTAGCTGCTGGAGTGTAGCCCTGTCTGCAGGGTGTGTAGAGGAGCGGCAGGAGGGAGCATGGGACACAGAACAGAGTCCCATGCAGATGTGCAGCCGGATCAGCCCTTCCCAGGACTGGACAGCTCTGGGCAATTGGACATGACTGGTCGATCAGCAGAACACCAGAAGACAGATTTGGGTCATAGCTGGCTCAAAGTGGGCGGTGACAATTGAAACTGCAAAGATGGCAGCTTGCCAGAAGAGAGAGAATCCACCAGGAAAATGCCCTGGAATGATTTGCACCCAGGACAGGAGAAAACCACATGGGAACCGCCAGCCAGGGCAGCCCCAGGAGGCCCACGTTGGCAGGGGATTCTGCTCTGTGCTGGGCTTCCTTCCCTTGGGGGTGGGAACTGGCCCTTGCAGAGGCTGCCTTACTGGACCCTTCACATCCATGCCAGTCTCAGCCCCCCCCCCGCAGTGAGCGATCTGAAACGGGACCGGGGGGGGGGGGAGAGAGAGGCCGGGCTGGTGGTTCAGGGGAGGCAGAAAAGCGTTGGAGGCCTCAAATCCGCTCGGCCTGGCATTGACTCCCTCTCTGGAGTCGGTGGGCACTGGAGCGCAGAGGCGCACCCCCGGAATAGGCTCAGAGAGGAAATGGGGGGGGGTTCAGAAGTTTAAACGGGGGGAGAATGGGAGAGATCATGCACAGCTAGAAGTACCCGGTGGTTTGCCGGGAAACAAGCCTCGCTGACTGCGCGCATTTCGGGAGAGAAAAGAGCCCTAAACCCCAACGCGGCAGGACAGCTAGAAAGGCACCCAGGAGGGAACAACAGCCCAGAGTTCTGAATTTCTCACGCGCTTCACCGGCCCCGCAGCCTCTTCTCGGGGGAGCCGGGGATAAACGGGGCTCTCGCCAGAGAACTCCCCCTCCCACGCGCTGCCCCTTGCCTGGGAAGCAACAAGGCGCAGCGGGGGGGGGGGGAGGACAGGTGACGCACCCCGGTGCCTGCCTGACGGTCTGGGATCGGAAGCAGCCCCTGGGCCGCCCAGACGGGGGACTTGGCAGCGCAGGCCGCTGGGCCCTCAGCCCTGCAGGGTCACCCCCGACCAGCAGCCCGCTTTTCCGAAGGCCCGGCCGGGACCCGGCGGCGACCGGCTCTGCCCTCGCCACCTCCACAGCGACCTCCTCCTGCTCCGGGGCCCTGGACTCCGCGGAGGGGTCGGACTCCCCCGCCCCGAAAGCCCCTTTCCGGGGGGCAGCCTCCGGCCTCTTCCTCGCCTGCGGAGTCGCAGCAGGAGGCCGGGCAGAAACCCCCCCGCCCCGCGACGGAGATGCCGCCCCTCCGAGCCCAAAGTTACGGGCAGCTGCGGCAGGAAAGAAGCTAGCTGCGGGCCGGCGGCGGACAACCGCAACTGCCGCCGCCGGCCGCCCGCTGACCCAGCCCCGGCCGGCTGCGATCCTCGGCGAGTCGGTTCACTGGCGCCGTCTCCCTCCGAGCGCCGCGCTTCCTGCCCCCGCCCGCCCGCCCCTCTTTCCCGCAAGGACTCCGCCGCTCCGAAGCCAGGCGGGAGGCGGCGGACACCTACCGGGCACGGCGAGGAGCTGGGCTTCGGCGGGCAAAGGGAGCCGAGGGGAGCAGCTGCTGGCCGCGGGCGGCGAGCGGGACGGCGGCCGCCCAGCATCAGCGCTGCGCACTAGGAGGAAGAGCGGCGGCGGTGGCGGCGGCTCTCGGCTGGATGAGCGGCAGGGTGACCCGCGACAGCCGCCCTCTTGCCCGGCGGGGCTCCGTGGCGTATCGGGGGCGGCGAACTCTGCCCGCTCGCCCCGCTGGCCCTCTCCTCCCCGCCGGCCAGCTACCGTATGGCTCGGGCGGGGCGGGCGGCGCGCCTGGGATGCTGCTCTGCCCCGCGAGCGCCTCTGAGGCTGGAGACCCCCCCCGCCGCCGCCCGCCTGCTCGCTCCCGCCGCGCAGTGCGTGGGCCCGCGCCGCGTCCGACAGGGCGCCCTCCTGGACAGCCGGGGCTGCGGGGGAGACGTTTCGCGCGGCGCGCTCCGTTCCGGGCCCGGTGAGGGGCTTCGGGCGCCGCCTCGGCAAGCGAGCCTCGGTGGGGTAGGGGCGCCCCGACCTGTAGCCAGACGGGCGGCGCTCGGCCTGGTGTCCCGTTTGACTGCCAGCGCCGGCCCTGGAGCCTTGAGGCAAACTGATGGGGCCACCGGGGCCCCCCAGCCCGACCTGCCTCGGCTGCGGCACCCGGCTCCCTCTAGCTGGCCTCGAGCCGAAGGCGCCCAGCCCCCGGCAGGAAGCGAAGGGCCGCTGCGAAGGCCAAAGCGCCACCCAAACGTCCAAGGGGGCTGCGGTCCTGTGGGGCCGGCGAAGAGCCCTGCGTGGCTGGGAAAGGAACAGTCTCGTGCGCCGCCCGGCTCAGCCTAGCCCGCCATTCGCAACGCCCAAACCCGAGCAAAAGGAGGGCAGCGGGGCTGGAGCTCGGGGGGAGGGTGTCCCCGTTTGGAGACGGTAGCCCTCGCCTTCGCCCTCCAGGACTGCCCTGGGATAGCCGCCTGGTGCGGCGATCTTCCGCCTCCTGGCCATCGCGAGTGCCCCCTTCCCTGCCGAAGGGGAGCCCGGAAGCGGGCCGGGCCGGGCTTCCTGGGCCAGACCCGTGAAGAAGCGCGCGAAGTACCCCGGCTGGACTCGGGAGTTTCGAGCGGCCGCGGTACTGTAGAGGGGGTGGGGGGAAGGGAAGGCGGCGGACTGCAGACCCTGGCTTGAGGCTTGTCCGGCGCCTTCCCCCTCTTCCAGCCTCTGATGGGTCCTCCTCTGGGTCCGTTTCCCAGGAGGGGGTCAGCAGGGCATGGTGCTCCCTCAAGAGGGGCAAAGGAGAGTAAAGCGGAGTTCCCCTTCCCTGATTGGAGCGATCCGAAAGGGTCGCTTTGTGGATGTCGCCTTCGCCCTTCCTGTACCCCCCCCAACCCACTAGGCAGGGAAGGGTCCTTCCAAGCTGACCTGGCTGGCGGCTCCCCTCCCCGCCCCCCATCTGGGCTCTCCAGATTGCTTTGGCCTTCCTTTCTGTCTTCTAGGATATCAGGCAGCCCCTCCATTTTATGTCATCTGCCTGAACTATATTTTAGGGATATTTTGGGATTCATCATTTTTCCCCCTTTCGAGTTTTAGTTTCCTCCTTTCAAAGGCAAAATGACAAAATGGTGGAATCTGTCAAATACACACAGTGGGTGCCAAACAGCTCCCAGAACAGGATATTTCCTTTGTGGAGGTGCTCTTCCCTTCTGCTCAGCCTGCGCTGCGCTCGACTCCCCAGGACTGATCCTCTCGGGGAGGGTGTTCCCTTCAGATGCTGCGCCTCAGGAATGGAATTTCTGGGATCTGTGTTGGGACACGGCACTGGCATGCAGCCTGCACAGCCTCCTCTATTCAAAGTTTACATCCTAGCCCAGAGGTCCCCAACCTTTTGGGCACCAGGGACCATCGGTTCCGTGGAGAGAGGCTTTTCCAAGGACCGGAGGAGGGTGTGTGGTTTTGAGTGCTGCCTGCATTCCAAGGATGGGGCGTTGCTTGTTTGTGCGGACCGGTTGCTGGTATGCCGGGGCCTGATACTGGTCCACAGATCAGGGGTTGGGGACCTGTCCTAGCCAATTCATCTGCTCTGCAAAGGTGCGAAGGGCGACCACAGCAAAGGAGCGGTCCCAGCCTCTTCCCTGCGACCTCCTCCGCGCCCAATCGCAGGCCCTTTGTTCCCAAGTGGTCTGAAGGATGCCGTGGTTCCCATGGACTCTCAGCCTGCCCCACTCAGGCAGTGCAGGAATTGGCTCCCTCCCCAGCAACAACAGCCAAAGGAAGGGAGACCCAGGAGCTGCGGAGGAGCTATTGTTGGGCCGTAGGATGGTCTTCCCAGCAGCAGCAGCAGCAGCAGCCCTCACCGAGCTCTGTGGGGCAGGGCATCCAGAAAGGGCTCGGATCCCTTGAGGGAAGCCTGCTTGTCTGCTGGGCCTGGAAGCCAAATCTGTCAGCAGAGTGAACACATGGATAAGCCCAAGAGGGCCACAGTGGCAGTTTCTGGAAACGGTTCCTGCTCAGTGCACAGGGCCAGCTAGACGGCCGCTTTATCAAGTCACATCAATTCTAGCCTGTCCCTCTTTTGCAACAGGGACCAGCTCAGTTGAAAACACAATAGTGTGAAAATAGTGTGGCTGGATGTTGGCAATCTACACAAACAAAATGTGGGGCAATCCTTAGACAGCATCACCACCAGATGGATCAGTAGTTAGCTGACCGGCCGTATTCAGTGTGTGGTCCTCAATGGAACCGCATCTACATGGAGAGAAGTATGTAGTGGGGTGCCCCAGGGCTCTGTTCTGGGCCCAGTGCTCTTCAACATCTTCATCAATGATTTGGACGAGGGGATAGATGGGGAACTCATCAAATTTGCAGATGTCACCAAGCTGGCAGGAATAGCCAACCCTCCAGAAGACAGGCTTAGGATACAGGAGGATTTGGACAGACTTGAACACTGGGCGCTATCTAACAAAATGAAATTCAGTGGTGAAAAAAAGTAAGGTTCTACATTTAGGCAAGAAAAACCAAATGCCATTTATTTCCCTGGACGTCCCCGTTTGTCGGGGTCCTCCAAGGCAAGGCCAAGAACTGGGTGGAAAGGAAAAGGCCAGGCGTTCGTGTGAAGAGAAAGAGCCCTTGTGGTCTCCTTGTGGACCAGGCGTGAAGCAGGAGGCGGGAGAGGATGGGGCGAATGAAAGAGGGCGGGCAGAGAGAAGAACCGCCAGGGAGGCTGGAGTTCAATGCTTCCCCCCCCCCCTCCTCAAAGCACTCTGACCACCTTCCCAAGGCAGGATCAGGGGGAGACGGGGAAGGAACCAAGGGGCTGCTTTGCCCAAGGCACCCCGACTGATCTTCCTTTTGGTCCTGGATGCCTCTCCCTGCTTAAACCTCATCCCCCAGCCCTCCCCTCTCATTGGTTCTTTACTACCCTCCTTCTTTCTTTCAACCTCCACCCTTTTCTTTCTTTCTTTTTTTATAAATTTTATTGAATAAAAAAAAGGAATTAAAAACATTGAGCATAGTAAATCAACATTTGACAGACATCTCAGTCCATATTTACATTAATTACAAATAAATCTCTTTACAGTAATATCATTCTAATCTCAGTCTTGGCTTTTCTCATTACAATGACCTCCCTTTTTCCCCCCACCATATAAAATTTATTCCATATTTGATAAAAATCTGATTCATCCTGATTTTTTAATCTTTTAGTTATCCTGTCTAATTCTGCGCAATACATGATTTTCTGAATTAATGTTTCCCCACTCGGCACATCCGTAGCTTTCCATTTTTGCGCAAATAATATCCTTGCCGCTATAACCACGTGAATGAATAAATATGTGTCATCTTTACTTACATTTTTTTCAAGTAAAGTCTCAGGTTTGTACTGAATGTTTTGCATAGTCATTTCTATTGCCCATTCCCAGACCATACGCCAATACACCTGTGCTTTTCTCCATGTCCACCAAACATGAAAAAAGTGCCCCTTTCTTTTTTACATTTCCAACACTATCCTTTATAGTTTATACATTTTGGCTAATTAGGCTGGAGGGAGATACCATTTGTAAACCATCTTATACAAATTCTCTTTATATGTTGACGCCAATGTGATTTTATTGTTTCGAATCCATACCTGCTGCCACTGATCCAAATTAATATTATATCCTAGATCTATCGCCCATGTCACCATTGTTTCTTTGACCTGTTCTTCGAATATACTCCAGTAAGTGTTTATAAATATTCTTTATTTGTTTTTTCTCCGGGCCTAGCAATATTTTGTCTAGCCCCATATCTTGTCTATTAATACCCCATTCTTGCTTATCTTTTGTGTATCTTGCTTGAATCTGGAGGTAAGACCACCACTCTATGTCTATTCCTTGTTGTCTTAACTCTTGTTTTGATTTTAAATAACCCTCTTCTGTCAGAATGTCTTTATATGTAATAACCTTGTCTTTCCTAAACAGATTGGGGTATGTAACTGCCTCCAGTGGCGATAACCAGGCCGGAATCTTTGTATAATATTGACGCTTAATCCTTGCCGAACCTTGTGTCTTAAGAAGTATTGGTGATTTCTGTTTTGCCCCATCCACATGTGAGCATGCCATCCCTGCTGAAGATCATAACCCTCTAACTGTAAGCCTTTTCTAGTCATTTCTCCTAGCAAGTTTGCTTGTTCCTTGTTTTGTGTGTGTGTGTGTGTGTGTGTGTGTTGCTTGTTGTGGTTAGCTAGCACTTTCAGGAGTGGCTGGGTGTTCAAAAGTCTTCCTGCTCCTATTCAACCTCTACTACAGGAAGGCTGCTGGGGAAAGTCATTCTAGGGTTTCCCCACTGTGCCCTTCCAGCTGAGAATAAACAAGCCGGGCTCTCGAGGTCCTATCACAGTGCCTGGAAGCTGCTGGGCTCTGGATGGGGAGGAAAAATTCAGTTCCGTTCATTATGGCTGCCCATAAGGACTGCGGGGGGGGGGGGCTTGCAACATTCCCAAAATAATAAAAACAATTAAGACACACGTAAACCGCAGCCCAGACAGAAGCAGCCAGAACAGCCAACAGTGTGACTGGAGCAATGCCAGATGGCCGAGGTTTGGGAGCCACCTGGCTGCAGAGGGTTTCCATGGTTAGTTCTAGATGGGGCTGCCCTTCCCCAGGTGGAGAGATTGGGGGACCCTCCTAAACGCTTGGCTCCCGCTTGAAGAGGGCCTGGTAGATCTGGTTCCTCCCTCAGGTGCTGGGCCACATTTCTAATTCAAGTTTGTTTAACCACCCCCCCCCCATGTGGCATTTCTACTGACTGCCACTTTTTCATTTGAGCAACCCTCCGATGGCCGGCCAGGGACAGGCCCTAGAAATTGAGCAAATAAGCAGGTGAGGCGTGAGGAGGAAGGGAGGCAGAGCTGAGAGGGGCCTTGCTTTTTCCACAGAGGCAAAATGCCCCTTTGCAGAATAAAAGGGCGTCCAAGTGAAGTAAGAATCCATGTTTCTGATGCAGCTCCTCCGACTACCAGAACGGGACGACTGGAGGAAGAATCGCTCCCCTCCTTGGGGGGGGGGGGCTCCCCTTCGCTTGGAGCTCTTCCACCACCCTCGGATGCTAAAGATGCTTTGGGGGATCCTGTACTAAGTGGGGACGTTGGACTAGATGATCTTTAGTATCCTATATAACTCTGTATTAGTCGTTTGTAGTGCCCATTCTCGTCTGAAAGATATCCTTAATTTTTTGTAATTATCTTAAATTGTCCTGCCAATTGGATTGTTCTCAAGTTCTTTGCATCAGTTACACTTTCTTGCCTCTTCTCTGCTACTCAGCACTGAACTGTGCAAATTTTCTTCTGTCTCACTTAAATTTTGCTTTTTTCAGCTACTTAAACATAGCAGGCAGCCGGTTTTCAGGTTTTTCTGCATTTTGTCCTATTTCTGATTGCTCTGTCTTGAATTAGGCCATGAATTTCAGTCCAGAGATCTTCCCAAATTCCATCAGAGCTGATCCTTTATATCTCTTTCTCACCTTCATACAGAATATTGTTGAGGACGTATCTTGAGGATGTTACCTAGCCGGGCCGTGGAACGTCTGCAGGGAAACGGCCGAGCTCAGACGGGGCAGCCAGGACCCCGCAGTCGAATCCCCTTCCTCGGAGGCCCCGGCGCAGCCAACGGGCGGCCGAGGCTTCCAGGACCTTGCCGGCCACCGGCTCTCTCCCCCTCCCGTCCTCCCTCCGCCGCTGGGGGCGCCCGAGGGCTCCGCGGGCCGGGGCGGGGCACGGGCAGCGCTGCCGGAAGTCGGGCTGCGGGAGAGGCGGGGCTCCCCCGGGGCCGGAAGTGGCGGCGCGCGGGCTGCCGGGAGGGCGCGGGATGGCGGCGGGCGGCGAGTTCGGTTCCGGGGCGTCGGGCCGGCTGGACCCGGGGGCGCTGATGGAGCAGGTCAAGGTGCAGATCGCGGTGGCCAACGCGCAGGAGCTGCTGCAGGTGAGGGCGCCGCCCCGGGGGCCCCGCGGAGCCGCTCGCCAGGCAGCCCTCGTGCAGCGGCGGGGGAGGGAGGGACGCGAGGCCGCCCCGGGCGGGTCTGAGGCCGAAGGAACCCCCCCGGAGCGGGCCCGGCCCCCAGCAACCCCCGTCCGCCAGGGCTTTTTGCGGGGCGGGGGGCAAAGGTCCCCAGGAGATGCTGGCGGGGGAAGGGGGCTGTCTGGCAGCGCCTCCCCCCCACGCCTTTTCCGGACAGCCCCCTCCCCTCCCCGGTCTCCAGGGGCGCAGCGCTGTCCGGAGGGCGGGCGGGGCCGCTGGCCTTCCTCCTTCCTCCCCTCTGATCGCTCCTCTCCCCCTCCCCCCCAAAGAGGATGACCGACAAGTGTTTCAGGAAGTGCATCGGGAAACCCGGAAGCTCCCTGGACAACTCGGAGCAGGTGAGCCAAATGGGGCCGATGGGGCCGAGCTACCCCCCACCCCCCCCGCCGTCCCCCCGCCTCACCCGGCCTCTCTCTCCTCCCCTCCCCTGCAGAAGTGCATCGCCATGTGCATGGACCGCTACATGGACGCCTGGAACACGGTTTCCCGCGCCTACAACTCCCGTCTCCAGAGGGAGCGCGCCAACATGTGAGAGGTGGAGCTGAGGACTCTGGCCAGGACCCTTGGAGAGAGAAGCGAACTGTTCATTGGCCGGGGTGATAGCCATTAAAATGCTGGCCCAGGCGCCCCTTTGTCGTCCTCTTGCCCTGTGCCTGTCGGAGGTCCTGGCTGCAATCCCCGGAGGCAAGGCCGGCCTGCCTTGAAGGGCTGGTGTTGCTCAGAAAGGGGATCCTCAATTTCCTCTTTCAGAGGCATGTCTGAATTTGAGGAGAGGCTGCTGATCTCCTTTCCGGGACTCCATGTGTGTTTGTGTGTGTGCGTGTGCGTGTGTGTGTGTGTGCGCGTGAAAAACCCAGAGTGCTCTTGCAGCCTGTGTTGCTGAGGCCCAGCCTTCCCTCCCTCCCTGAGGCTGTCAGAAGCAAGACCTGGCCTGTCCCTTCTCTGCTGCTGGCCTTTTTTCACAGCCAAAGGCCGCCTTCCTCTTCTCAGCTTGGATTTAGGCTGCTAATCTTCTGGATCCCTGGTTTTGGGGAGGCCTTGAAGAAGTGCAGGCTGCCCGTCTGCTTTGTGGGAGTGCATGGAGGCTTCAGGCCCGACGCTCTGGGCTAAGAGGGGTGTGGTCCCTGGGCCTTGTTCCGCTGGCCAGTGGCGGGAGAGACTTGGGGCCCTACAGTGCCGGCATCTGTCCTCGGATAAAGCGAGGCAGGTGACACTGGGCTCAGCTAGAATGGGTGGCGGGTGATCCATTGATCGTCCCCAAGGCTGAGAAAGAACATGGAATATTAATTCAGGCTTACAGGTTGTGTGAACGGTGGGAGTGTGTTAATCCTTCTTGAGCACATCGTGTGCACATCCTGCCGTTTGGGGATTGGAGAGACTAAGCGGTAGATGGGCCGATGCAGGGAAGATCGGTTACCTTTCCTTGGACCTCAGTTTCTTCCGCGTTTCTGTTGTCTGAAGCTGCAGCACTTTCTTGGCATGGAGGAAGGAGGGAAGCCATCCCGCTCCCCAGGCTTGTGTGAGCATTGCAGGGGCTTCTGACAAGCTGTGGAGGCTGGGGGTGCCAGGAAAAAAACCCTCCCTCCCTGCAGGCCCAGGGAAAGTCAAGGAAAGTCACAAGTGGGTAATTTTCATTTAATGTACCTGCAGCTGGAACAGAAGTGTCCTGTCTGGTAGAAAGGGCTCTGGCAGGATTGGGACCATGAGGGCTCAGTCCTCGTGGGCTCCCCCTGCTAGCCCCAGTGGGTAGGGGGTTATGCCTTGAGGTTCTGTGCAATCCAGCCCCGGACTGCTGTCACCTTGGCGTAGACCCCAGGGAAGGAAGGCCGGGCGCAGCCATAGCCCCAGCTGGTGATGCCTGCCAGGAACCAGCGGCCAGACGGCTCTCTGCAGGCCAAGGGGCCTCCCGCATCTCCCTGCGGAGCAAGAGGGAAGCGTGAAGGCTCTGCAGCCCAGAGCAAGGGGTGGGGGACTTAGAGGGCTTGCCTCCCCATCCTCTGCAGAGCAGTGGGCTCATGGCCATTCCTGGCAGCCGTAGGGGCACTGCTGCTGCTGTCACCTCCCAGGCCAGGCCCAAACTCACCCTTTACCCCTGTGGTGGGGACCCTGTGTGGGCTCACCGAGCAGCTGTCGACGGCCCCCTGTGGGAAGCCAGCACAGAGCATCCGGCTGCTGATCTGGATGGGGTAGAAGCTCCGGCAGTCCTGCTCCGGGATCACCTGAACATTAGCCTTTTGCAGACGTGTGGTCACGAGGCCTGCAGGTAGCAAGACCCCCCCCCCCAGACCCCTGTCACATTTCCACCCTGAGCTGAAGAATCCCGTGCAAGGCATCAGTCATCCCCGGAAGACCCCAGTCGGGTAGTCCTGTGGCCTCAGACTGAGCTGTGCCTTACGGGGACAGGTTGGCGGGAACGTCCGTACCCCCCTCTCTGGTGGAGCCCCAGCCGGTGATGACGCAGGGCCTGCCCTCGTTGAAGACGTGGGTGCGGTCTGGGAGGCAGATGGGCCGGATGGCGCTGGTGTAGCGCAGGGGGGCTGCCAGCTCCAGCAGAGCCACGTCATAGTCCAGCATGTAGCCGTTGTAGAAGGGGTGCTTGTGGATTCGAGCAATCTTTTCTGCTTGCCCATCAAGGCCACTCAGGAAGGGCGTCCCCAGGACAGCCACCCACATCTTGGGGTTGCTGTAGCTGCAAGAGGCAAGCCCGTCAGCCTTCGGGAGGCCTCCTCAGGAGAGCCCCCACCCCAGCACCTGTGCTCTGGCCTGGCCAAGGCAACTTTCTGCTGTGGGCCTCGGGGGGGGGGGGAATTGGGAACAGAAGGGGCAGGTTTGGAGGGGTCTGGGCCCTTCTCCAGTCTCCCCCCACTCACATGTCGAAGCAGTGGGCAGCAGAGAGCAGCCACCGCTCGGCAATCACCACAGCTCCGCACGAGTGCTGCCTTCGCCGCAACCACAGGCTCACCTGCCACGGCCACTCACCCTGCGCTGCACTGCTGCCCCCCACGATCTTGCTGAAGGCTGTAGGGGCCAAGCCGCAGTCTGGAAAAGGCCAAAGCAGGGGCTGAAGGGTGGGTAGGGCAACCCAGCAAATCCTCCCTCCCCTCCCCCCGTCTGCTGGGATGGGCGCCATGGGCAGCCACGTGCCATGTCTCCGGCCACTAATGGCTGCAACAAAAGCACTCTCAGAGCAGCTCTGACCCAAGGCCTGCCACCTCCTCCTCTGCACCCGTGTTGCCAGGGGTTCCCCCCTGCCAGACAAGGGCCTCTTCCCACCACTCTACTGGGAGGCCCCCCTCCTCTGGCATCTTCATGTCCCTCCCATTTTCAAACACCCTCTTCACTGCAGCCTCAAGTCAGGCTGGATTAACTGCTGCCCCTGGGGGGAGGGGGGGCGCGGAGAGAGCAGGGCCGGAGCAGGGGAGGGAGGTACGCACTGCAGCTGGTCTCATCCCATCCGTTACTGCAGTCAATGGTGCCGTCACACTCGGGGTTTGCTTTCCCGATGCAGACCTTGCTGGAGCACTTGAATGTGGATGGGGTGCATGGCACGGCTGGGGGGGGGGGGAAGAGGGTGAGTCCAGCTGAGAGGCCTGGCTCCTCTCCCCAAAGGGAGCCAGAATTCTCTTCCACAGCTACTTAAATGGGGCATTTCCTGGCAGGTCTCCCATCACAAGCGATTGTGGCAGAGGAGAGGAAAGAGAACTTTTCTGGGCCTGCTCTCTGCCACGCTGACTTGCATGCCCTGCCAACTTGCAGACTGAGCCTTTCTGCCCTGTACCTGGCGGCTGGGTGGTCTTGGGGACACTGACTGCCAGCCCGGGTGTGGTCAAGATGGTAGGGCCAGCGCTTGGGCCAAGCCGTGTAGGCCTTTGCTCCAGGCCAGAGGCGGTGGAGGCAGAGGTGGTCCTGGGTCTGAGGGGCCCTGCGGTGCTGAGACGGGGCGAAATGATGTCTAGGATCCAGTTCTTGAGCTTGGTGATCCGGGCGTAGACCCCTGGCTTCTTGGCCTGCCCACAGCCAGCGCCCCAGCTCACAAGCCCAGCCAAGTAGAAGGTTCCTGGGGTCTCCTCGCACGCCAGTGGTCCCCCCGAGTCCCCCTGGAAAAAAAGCAGGAGGAAGCACCTCTTGGCAAGTGCCAGCGGCTTAATGCAGATTGGATGCCCCTCCGGTTACGGCCGAGGCAATTCCTCCCTCCATAAACGAAGGAGGCTGGAAGAGTTCTTGAACTGAGAGTGAAACTGCCCAAATGCTCAGTGGGGAGGCCACAAGTGCCCCTTAACCTCCCTCCCCCCAACGGTCACCTGGAGAACTATCAGCAACTATCCCGGCTTGGCAAAAATTGGCAAATGGGCAGTGTGGGAAAAGGGAGCAGGCCTGAAGGCTGAGGAGTTCCCTGGGAAGGAAAGTGGGGCAGACAGCATAGACAAAAAGTGAATGCCAGGAGCAGGAGCCCAGACAGGGTGGGGTGTGGAGAAGGCTCCCCTCACTGCCCTGGCATCTGGCCTGGTGGAACCAGTGAGCTTCTCCAGCAGTAGCAGCACGAAGAAGCCACAGTCACCAGGGGCCTCTCTGTCTCCCACCTACTCGGAGAGGGATAAGAAAGCCTTCGCAGGACACCGTGGGGCCTTTGACCTGCATGGGGAAGCAGTCCAGGGAAACTGGCAGCAGCCTGCAGCAGCAGCAGGGCAGGGGTGGTGTGGTGAGGTCAGGCCCGGAGAGGCCTCTGCGAGGGTCCATACAACACAGCAGAAGAGGGTTGAACTACAGGTCCTTGGTGCTTTCTGAGCTTGGTGGTTTTTCGTGCAGTAGGGAACACCTGCAGCGCTAGACACCCTGCTCCCTTTTATGACACCTAGTTGGGCCAAGAAACGTCTGCAAGGAAAGCACCAGGCTTAGAGAGCACCAAGGATCCTGCAGTGGTGTATCCTTTAGACTCCCGCTACTGAAAATGGAACGGAACTCAAACACTGTCCAACAACAGATATATTTCCAAAATACACCTTCAGCTTTTATGCCCTGTCCTTTGGTGGTCTGTGTGGGGGAGGGGGGGAGCTCCACCCTGAAAGGGTCAGGCTGGGGAAGGGGTGCTCCTGGTACCTGGCAGGTGTCCACCTGCCCCTCCAGGAACCCCGCGCACATCATCTGGTCCGAGAGAGAGACGTTGTACAGTTCCTCGCAGGTCGTCTGCTCGAGGATCCCGACTGCGGCTCGGTGCAGGTTCTCAGGCTGAGAAGCTGGAAGCCGAAAAGGAGGGGGAGGAGGAGGAGACCCCGCATGGACCAGCCCAAAGCCCTGGGCCCCATTTCTAACCACCTCAGACCCTGGGCACTCTCGCCCAGGATGGCACATGTCCATAGACAGACTACTCTTGCCTGAGGGGGTTCAATACGCAAGGGGGGGGCAGTCTTCTAGCCTCAGAGGACAACCTGATGCCCGGTTTCCCATCTGCTCTGAGGAAGCTGTTCCTACCGTTACCATCCTGGGGGCTGCCCCAGCCCGAGACCAGGCACTTTCTGCCCACGGGGAACTTGTGGACGGCCAGCGGGAGGCAGATGGGCTGGATGTATTTGCCAAAGCGCAGCGGCCTAGCCAGTTCCAGCACTGCTACGTCGAAGTCTAACAGGGTTGGATTGTAAGAAGGGTGGAGCACCACCTGTTGGATGCCGACCTTCACAGAAGAGCTATCCATGGCTGAGAGTGAAGTGGTGCCCGCAAAGGCAGTGAGGTGTCCCACTTTGATGCTGCCGATACAGGAACAGGAGTGGTACGCTGTTTATCCAGAGGCAGAGCAGGCCCTTCGCACCTTCCCTGGACCTCCCCCCCCAGGTTGAGGCTGGATGGAGCAGGACCCCCCCCCCTTGCGGGGAGGCAGAAGTGACACAATGGCAGGTGACTTTCTGGGGTGCCTCAGCCCCAACAGGGCACCAGTCCTTCTGGGATTCCTCACCCCCTCCTGCTGAACAGCCCCCCTGCAAGAGCAGCTACTAAATTACTCCCCCTCCCTGGAGAAGCCCAGAGATGAGCCTTCCAAAAGAGAGCCCCCCCCCAACTGACACGTACTGGTTGAAACAATGTGCAGCTGAAAGCAGCCATTGCTCCCCACTGATGGCAGCTCCACAGAAATGCTGGAGACCCTCCTTCAGGGTGACTTGCCAAGGGACCTCCCCACGGGATGCTTCCAGGCCACCCACAATTTTCGTGGGCTTGGAGAAACCAGGCCGCCGACCGCACTCTGCACATGAACAGGGAACGGCTGTGGTGGGCGTAGGAGGAGGCCAACATGCCGCCTCTCTCTCTCCCTGCCAGCTGCATGCCAAAGCCCTACCTGAGGGTTGGGGGCCTGGGGCCGCTGGCCTGCTTGGGGCCAGGGAGGCAGAGCTGGGGGTGGAGCTGGGGTGTTGCAGGCCGGCTGCGCTTGCGCCCAGGGTTGGAGCTGGATGAGGAAGCCCAGGGCCCAGCGGGATGGTTGAGGTGGTGGGGCCCCTGGATGCAGCCGTGGTCTCGAGGATCCAGTCCCGGAGCCGGATCACACGGGTGTAAACGCCTGGGCGCCTGGCCTCCGCACAGCCGATGCCCCAGCTGACTATGCCTGTGAGGAAGAAGCGCCCAGAGGGCTCTTGGCAGACCAGCGGGCCCCCGGAGTCCCCCTGCGGAAGGAAATGGCCAAGATGGGGTGGACATCAAGCAGGAAGGTCCACCCAAAGCCTGCTGATGGCCGGGGGCCCCTACCTGGCAAGAGTCGATCTTGCCCTCCAGATAGCCGGCACACATCATCCGGTCGGTGAGCACGCTGCTGCCGTACAGGTTGCTGCACAGACCCTGATCCAGCAGCTCCACTGTGGCTTTCTGCAGCAGTTCCGGCTTCACCACTGGGGGGGGGGAGGGGAGCAGGATGAATGCTAAGTGGGTCCTGGCCTTGCTCTCAGGGCAGCCCAGCAAGGTTGGGGGCTGAGGGCAGAGCCTGGGGCACTGCATTGGAGCAGAGTATGTGGCTGCAGCAACAGCAGCAGCTATGGGCTAAATGACTGGATTGGTCTGCTCACAAGGCCAACAGACACACCAGCAACTTTGCAGGGGCGCACACAACGGTTGAATAGTTATCTGGCCTTGCTCAGGAGTTTCCCCTCTGCCACACCTGACAGTTGTTGCAGCAGCGGGAATCTCCCTTCTCCGCCTATGAGAAGAGTGGCGGCCTCTTGGTGTTTCTGAGCAGCCCCAGGTTTCCTCACATGAGGAGGCAGAGTTGACAGGTTCAATCTCCCCTCATGAACCCTGGCCCCACCAACACCCCTTTGAGGTAGGCTGATCAGCTCCAGCCCTGGCCGGAGGATTCCCTCTGCCTAACCACCCCATTTTCCACCTGACCGCCAGGGACTCTGCTTACAGAAGTCTTCCTTCAGGTACCCCCAGCCGGAGATGAGGCACTTCCTGCCAGGGGGGAAGCGGTGGGAGGGGGCTGGCAGGCACACCGGCTGGACGTATTTGCTGAAGGCAAGGGGCTCTGCCAGCTCCAGCAGGGCTGCATCATAGTCGGCGCTCTCCGTGTTGTAGGAAGGGTGCCGGAGGATGCGCAGCACTTTGGCCTGTGCCCGGTTGCCCTCACCGTCACTCAGCCAGACACTGCCCACCTGCGCCATCCAGGTGCGGGGATCCTGGAACCTGTGATGGGACAGATTCAGTCTCCCCTAGCTCCCCCCCCCAGGAGGCCTCAGGGAAATGCAAGCCATGCTTTATCGAGACTGCCTGTCTGTGGTGAGGGCTGTTTCCCCTGTGACCTCAAACTCTGTTGTGGCTGTCCTTTTGACATTTTTGATCTGACTTGTCACCCCGGCCCTCCATTCCCTTTTCTTCTTGCTGTTTTGGAGAAGCTATCTGAGCTTGGGGGTTCCTTCTGCTTCCCCCCCACGACTCCCCCTTCTTCTCTTCCTCCCCCTCCCCATGCCATTGCTCCACACCCACTGCATGCTTCCACCTGCTCCCCCAGCCCGAAGAAGGGACGGATGTGTGGCAGAGTGTCCCCACTGCCTGCCTCCTTTCATCCTTGGACTATTCCTTCCCGGCCACACTCCCCCCCCGCCGTCTTGACGCCAACCCACCCTCTGCAGATGGTGCCAGCCGTGGCAGAGGGTTCCCGCGCGTACTCATTGAAGCAGTGTGCAGCGGAGAGCAGCCAGCTGGCCGTCAGGATGGCTGCCCCACAGAAGTGTTCATTGCTCTCTCTCAGGCTGACCTGCCATGGGAACTCGCCCAGTAGCGCCTCTGATCCCCCCACAATCCGGGTGGCGGACCGCATGGCTGGCCGGGTCCCACAGTCTGCAAAGGAGAATGAGGGGCTCGTGGTGAGTAGGGGAGACCGGGCGACGCCCCCCCAACACACACAAATACACACTTTCAGCCCTTGAAGCCTACAAAGGGAGGAAATGTGTGACAGAGACTTTGGCTTTGATTTGGGGGTTCAGAGCCTCTCACAAATTAGGAAAGCCCCAAACACATTTGCCCCACCCACCCCGGCCAGTTTTATTCCAAGTTTGTGGTTTGAAATTGAGGGGAGGACTTGTTGTCTTTTTATTGTCCTCCTGCTTGTGGTTACTTGGCTTGACTGGTCACTCTCTGAGCGAGGATTAGCTCCAAGGGCACATTGCCCACCTTCTCTCATGCACGGCCCCTTCTGTTTCCTAAGGCCAGGCTCCCCTCTTCACACTCTCTGTCCTGGAAAGGTAGCCTCTCTGGAGACGCTGCCCCCCACCCTCTCTGGGTTGGAGTGCAAAGGATCCTGCACTCTGTGTGGTTCAGGGCCCCCCTGTAGGAGGCATCCATGGCCTCTGCCCATCCTCTGGGGGAGAACAGGGGCAGCACGGAGAATCCTCAGCTTTGCAGAAGCAGCCAGCCCAACAGCCCCAGCATGAGGGACCCACCACACTCGGCCTCATCAGAGCCATCCGGGCAGTCTTTCCGCCCGTCGCACTGCACACTTCCTGAGGCCACACACTGGCCGTTGCGACAGGCAAAGGCCTCCCTCGGACAGCTTCCTGTGAACACAACAGGGGCAGAATCGAATTCTTCTCCTCAGCACAGACACTGGGGGGGGGGAATGCATTTGGGGGTGGAGTTCAGACCTCAGTGGGTCCAGCCACCATGCTCAGCACCTCCTGTAACTGAGGCGGGAAATCTCTGCCCTCTGGCAGCCTGGGCTTTTGGGGTAGTGGTTTGGCTGCTCTTTTCCACCCTCCCTCTCCTGCCCCCAAAAGCCCCTGTGCCATGCTGAAGGCCAAACGGGCACCCTGTCCTCAACGCTGCCCATCAGATGGAGGGATGGGGCTGGGCCCCCCAAAATCAGGGTCCTGGACCAGAGGCAGCTCCACAGTTGACCAGCCTACCTGACTTGAGCTCTGTGCCCGAGAAGGTGAGGTCCCGTGTCCCTGCTAGAAAGGGGGGGGGGATCAGAACGGGGGTGCAGGTGAACAGCAGAGGAAGAACCAGGCTAATTAGGGGCATGCACCACCCCAGCCAGCCCTGGGCCAAAGGGCCAGAAGAAATGCAGGGATACCCAAGAGGGAGGCAGCCGAGATGGTGCCTTGGGCGGGCACCCTGACGCCCTTGATGCCTACAGCCGCTGCCAGTCCCCGCCTCAGGATGTCCTCTTCCGTGCCAGGGCTGGGTGGTGGTGCAGAGAAGCAGAGGTGGAAGCGGACGATGAGGCTGCCATTGACCTCCCTGGCAAGCAGAAGCAAGAAGTCCTCACCCTCTCTGTCTGGCAGGCGAGCGGAGGAGCCCCTCCCCACAGGCCAGCCCTCCTGCTCCTGCCCACCTGTATTGCAAGACGGTACACCTGGAGCAGCTGCCGTCCAGGGGCGAGTTCTGAAAGCTGCTTTTGAACTGAACAGTCAGACAGGGGAACAAGAGAGCACATTGAGAGAGCCCATCAGAGGCACCTTCAAACAGGGGGCCCCAGTTTCAGAGCAGCCTCACCCCAAGAAAAGATCTGGACCCTTTGTTCACTCAAGCAAGTAGCCAAAGGAGTGCCTAGCCTGGGGCTTAGAGGAGCCATTGCACATCCCAAGCTGGCTGGCAGGATGCATGCCCTCAGCCCTCCCCTCCCTTTTCCTCCAGCCCCTCCCTTCCTTTCTGCCTTTCAGCTGAGTTGAACAGCTGGCCACCAGGTTACCTCACCTGGAAACAACCCTGCCACCAGCCTTGGCAGGTCTGAGCAGCCTGGGGAGGGGGAGGGGAAGGGGGAGGGGGAGGGGAGAGGCTTCTCTGTCCTGGAGAGCTGCAGGCCCCCCCTGGGGACCACTGCATGGCGGGCCCTGCCTCAGCCCTGGAGCAGCATCCCGTGGCCCTCCCTGGTGGCTCATCCGCAGCTCACCCTCTTGAGGAGGGGCAGGGGGCCCTTACCAGCTGCTCCAGAATGGGGGTCAGCAGGCGGGAGTAGCCAGAACTGGGCTGCTGCAAACTGCTCCGGTAGGGGATCCCTTGCAGCTCCACCAGGTGCTCAAAGCGGGTTTCTTCCTTCCCCAGGAAATCTGCGGTGGGAGAGAGATGCATCGATGCTCTGGTGGTTGCCAACCCCCCCCCCCAAGCAGTGCCAGGCGCCTGGCCCGCCCAGCTCCTGTCCCCTGCCCGCCATGCCCCCTGCTTGGCCACCAGAGCCCTGCCAAGCTTTGGGGCTGTCTGTGATCTCGCCCCCAGGAGAACCAAGGCTGGAAGGATGGGCTGGCCGGCTGGCACAGATGCCCCAGAAGGGTCCTGGCACAAGATGAGCATCAAATTCAGACTCTCCTTGTCTGCCCAAGAGGCTCTCTGGCCCTTTCCTTTCCTTTGCAAAATCGCAGCAGCCATCCCCAGAGGACACAAATTCCCCCCTCTCCCTCCCACCCGCCCCAGGCATCTTTGCCATTTTTGCAAAGAGCATGCTGCAACTTCCCCCCCCACCCCCATTTTCCCCAAGGCAAGTGGTGAGGTTGCTCCCTGCCTCCTTTCCTGGAGGGTGCCAGGCCTACCAGATCAGGTAGGGTGGGCCCACTCCAGGTCCCTCTCCTTAAATGTGTTCAGCTGGCAGAGCCCGGGGGGGGGCACATCTTCTCCATTTTGCTAGTTCTCCCCCCAAGTGCCCGCGGTCTAGGAAAAAAGGAGCTCAGCTGAGGTATGGGAGGGGATGCCTGGGGCTGCTCTGTTGGGCGAGGCCTGACAAGAACGGGGGGGGGGGAAACTGGGGTCCCTGGTCCCACCACCAAAGGGCTCTTCCTCTGTCAGTGCAATGGTGAATACATTTTGTAGGTTTAAGCTCCTTTGGGGACCCCAAGTTGACCCCCAAGCCCATTTCACAGCAACTCACACACAAGGATGCCCACACCCAGGGCTGTTAGAGTGCTCGTGAGGACGGTGGCCAAGACAGCCCGGCTGCAGATTCTACCACCAGCCACAGACCGCGCTGTCTGTCCGTCCAGGGCCAGCTTTGAGGTGATGCACGGTGGTCCCATGGCAACCGCACAGAGCAGGATGGACCTGGAGATGGAGGGAGAGCAGGACTGAATCCCCTCTTTTTGCTTTCTAGGCTGGGAGCCCGGAGGACCAGCATGGCCTCCCCCAACGGCTGTCCAGCCACAGGTTTGCAGCGTGACTACCTGGTTATTAATTCATTATTTATTTCTTCAGTCCCCAGCTTTGCAAAGCCCCATTGAGGACGTTTATAAACCCAATGAGAGCTGGTTTGGGGTAGTGTTACGACGTCAGGCTAGAAACCAGGAGATCATGACTTCTAGTCCTGCCTTAGAGCCAGCCGGGGACCTTGGGCCAGTCATTGTCTTCCAGCTCTAAGGAGATACTGGCAAAAACTTTGCCAGGAAAACTGCAGGAATGTCTCTGGGAAGGCGCCGAAGTCAAAGAGGTGCACATACACTCACAAAATAAAAACCCAATAGCAATGCAAAAATAAGATTTCAGGCTCCCCATCCTCAGTTATCTACCCCATCCTGTTTGTTAAAAATGGTCTGTTTGTTAAAAACAGATCATGCCAAGGCAATCTTATTTCATTCTTTGAGAAAGTGACTAAATTAGTAGACCAGCGAAATGTCCTGGACCTCATATACTTAATTTTCAGCAAGGCATTCGACAAAGTAGACCATAAGCTATTCCTGGGGAAGTTAGAAAAAGATGAAATAGACAACATCACCACCAGATGGACCTGCAGCTGGCTGGCAAACCGTACTCTACGAGTAGTCCTCAATGGCTCTACATCCACATGGAGAGAAGCGAGCAGTGGGGTACCTCAAGGCTCCGTCTTAGGCCCAGTAAACTCTTCAACATCTTCATCAATGACTTAGACAAGGGAATTGGAGGGGAACTCATCAAATTTGCAGAGGACACCAAACTGTCAGGACTAGCCAACACCCCAGAAGACAATCTCAGGATTCAAGAAGGTCTTGACAGACTTGAACAAGGGGCCCTATCCAGCAACATGAAATTTAATGTGGAGAAAAGCAAGATTTTACACCTGGGCAGGAAAAAAACAAAGGTACAAGTACAAATTAAGTGAAACCTGGCTCAAAAACAATAATTGTGAGAGGGACCTTGGAATCCTAGTGGACGATCATTTAAATATGAGCCAGCAGTATACGGCAGCAGCCAAAAAAGCTAATACGATCCTTGGTTATAAACAGAGGCATTGAATCAAAACCACATGAAATATTAGTGCCACTTTATAAAACCTTAGTGCATCCAATTTTGGTCATCACATTACAAAAAGATTTTGAGACTTTGGAAAAAATACAAAGCAGAGCAACTAAGAGGGGACCTGATAGCAGTATTCCAGTATTTGAGGGCCTGCCACAAAGCACCAGAGGGCAGGACAAGAAGCCACGGACGGAAACTAATCAAGGAGAGAAGCAACCTGGAATTAAGGAGAAACTTCCTGACAGTGAGAACAATTAATCGGTGGAACAGAAGTTGCCTTCGGAAATTGTGAGTGCTTTATCATTGGAGGCTTTTAAGAAGAGACTGGGCAGTCTGAAATGATATAGGGTCTCCTGCTTGAGCAGGGGGCTGGACTAGAAGACCTCCAAGATCCCTTCCAGCTCTATTCTGATTCTGATTTGTTATGTCCCCAGAGGGGCTTCAGGGTGGGGCCTTCCCCACAATGGGAGGGCTTGCCCCCAGGGCTTCCCTTTTTAGTGCTCAGCACTTGGCAACCAGGGTGGGGCAAGGGCTTGGTCACCGATGCCAGTCTGAGAGGTAAGTTACTCTGAAGAATTGGGTGGTGCCCCTCCTGGGTATGGGAGGAAGCTCCCCTCCCTCCTCTCCCCCCCCCTCTTCCGATAAGCCAGTTTTGGTTTCCTTCTGGCCTGTTGCTGGCTGCCCATGCTGGGAGCTTTTCTCTCGCCAAGGGAGCCCAGAAGCCTCTCCATGGGGGGGGGGGGAGTCCTGCAGCGCAGGAGCCAAGCCAAGAGTTGGAAAAGGCACCTTCATGCCACATAAACAACCTTTGAAGGCTGCTAAGGCGGGTGGGGGGAGGGGGGAGAAATCCGATGCAGCTCCTCCCTACCCCCCATCCATGGGGGGGGGTCTGCAAGGCAGTGGGAAAGGGCAGCCTGCCTTTGTGTGCCTGCCAGGCAGCAGACAATGCCAGTCTTGATGGGAGCCTCTACACACACACACACACACACACACACACACACACACACAAACACACACACGCCGCCCAGGGACAATGCAGGGCAGGTGAGGCAGCTGGGAGCCAAAATCCTGGGAGCAGCAACCTAGCCTGCTCCTCTCCTGCCCAGAGGCAGATCCTGGGCATCCCAAAAGAGGGCGGGAGGGGACTAAATTAGGTTAGTTTGCATCAAATCTCAGTTAATGCAAGCTCTCTGTATTATTTTCCATGTCTACACTCCCCCCCCCACTTAGCGTTTTCCCACAAGTGCAGGATCCGTCCCCCCTCCCAATCAATCAGGATGTTGACCCATCATTTGGGCTTGTTGCTAGAGCAGAGACTGGCCCAAAGTCTCCCAGCTGCTCTGATGCCCAGGTGGGACTAGAACTCATCGTCTCCTGGTTTAGACCGGTGCCTTAACCATTAGACCAAAACTGGATCTCTTGGTAATTGAACCAGGTTGGAAAAGATCATGGGCTTTCAAGAGGAGGAAGGGGAACAAGCAGCTGGGGGGGGGTCAGGTTCAGCCCCCCCATGCCAGCTAACAAGTGCAGGAAAGGGAGCAGTCAGGGCAGGGGTCCCAGCCGAGGGGACAGCCTGGGGCGGCTAGTCCCCAGGTGGCAGGGTCAGAAGGACTGGGGCTGACTTCCAATCAATTCCCCAAGACTTACTAAAGGGGGGGGCACAGAAGGGTCCCCAGACACAGCCCACCTCCCACTTGCCCTTTTGAGAAGATTCTACTCCAAGTCAGCTCCATGCTTTTGACCAGGACCTCCCCCCACTCCCAATCTATACCAGGAGGGGGGGTCAATGCAAGAGCTGGGATGGGTCAGAAATTCAGCTCATGGCCCGTGCTGCCCTGGGGGGCTGGCAGCTAAGGATACCCATTGGGCCCCCTTCTCTGGACATTGCTAGACCTGGAGCGCATTGCTGCCAGACAGCAGCCCCCCTCCCCCCCATCAATCACCACTTTGCATGGTCTGGGGACCCCTAGCATTCCCTTGGCTGGTTTCCCCTGGTTTGCCCAGGCTAGGCCCACAAGCGGCTTTCAACTTGCTGGGCAGTGCAGCCCCCTCTAGGATGCCCTTAGCCCGGGCCCTGCCTCAGCTCTGGGCTGGGCTGCCACCCTCCTCCTCCTCCTCCTCCTCCTCCTCCTCCTCCCCCCCTCCAGGATGGGCTCACCTCCTGAGCGGCCACTCGTAGGCAGAGCTGTGCTCCCCGTCTGCTCTGCTGTGCAACCCCATCATCTCTCTGGCTCTCAGGTGGGCTGGAGGAGGGGGGGTGAGGGTGGGGTGGGGGGGAAATCCCTTAAAGGGACAGGAGCCACCCGGAACTGCCTGGACAGGGTGGAGCTCAGCCAGAGCCGTGACCGGGATTCAAAAAGAGTGGCAGGCTTAGTCTGCCATCGTTCTTGCTTGTGGACGAGATGGTCACGATTGTCCCAAAGGTGCTTTTTCCAAAGGGCAGCTGGACTTTCTTGTTTTTTTTTTTTCTTTGAAAACGTTTCACTTCTCCTCCAAGAAGCTTCTTCAGCTGAAGAGGCTTCCTGGATGAGAAGCGAGATGTTTTCAAAGAAAAACAACAAGAAGAAAGCCCAGCTGCCTTTTGGAAAAACCACCTTGGGACACCTTTCTCGCTTATTTATACAATTATCCCATTTATGTTTTTTCTGCACCGTACTACCTTCATTGGAGCCTTCTAAAACAGTGAAAACTTGAGGTTAATGCTTGTTAAGAGCAAGAAACAGAAATATAAAAGCAAACACTAAAAGTGCTTCCCCCCCCCAGGACCCTCTCCTGTCTACCCAGTGAGCCCCCTAATGTTCAGAGGCCGCCAGGTCATCCAGGTCTTGGGCTGGCCAGGCGGCATCGGAGGACCCGTCCCGAGGCAGAAGGCCTGTCTCCCGAGTCCCACCAGGTGGCACTGCTCCTAGAGGGACCCACCGGGCTCCGTGGGGACGGGCTGAATGAGCAGAGACCGGTGGCTCTGCAGGCAAGTCAGCCCTGCGCCCCAGAAGATTTGGCTGGCGACAAACAGCACTTTGACCCAGAGGGAGGGGCCTCAGTGAGGAATGAAAGGATGTTGCTGGCCATATCTCGATTTAACTGATACACCTCTCCTCCAATTGGCCAGTGGAACAGCGTGCCTTCAGAAATCATGGGCGCTCCATCACTGGAAGTTTTTAAGAAGAGATTGGACAGCCACTTGTCTGAAATGGCATAGGTTCTCCTGCTTGAGCAGGGGGGCTGGACTAGAAGACCTCAAAGGTCCCTTCCAGCTCTATTGTATTATATTCCATTCTTGGCTCTTTCACTCATGGTTATAATATAAAAAGCTGTGGGATACACAATGCAGAAAGCAAAGTTTACTGGCCCACAACACGTGGGGGTGAGAATCCACTTCACTCTGCCACAGGGGAGGAAGGACAGGAGGAGCGGTGAGCACCCACCCGCTCGTCGGGCCAGGCACGGGGGGCCTCCACGAGCCCTTTTCCCGGAAGGCTGCGGTCCTCCAGCCACACACAGCCCTGTTTCTTCTCAGAGAACTGGGGTCTCGCAGGCTCCCTCACGCCAAGCTTGAAACGGGACAGACAAGAAGACGAGGGCATCGGCCGTGCTTGTCGAGGATATCTGGCGAGAGTGGGATGAGGGCAGCGCAACCGTCCTCTCTCTCCTGGGCCTCTCAGTGGCCTTCGATACCCTTTGGGGGCTAGCTATGGGGGGCTGGAGCAACAGGATCTTGTGCAAGTTTGGCTCCCTTTCTCCCCAGTCAGGGTCAGTAGGGAGCGAGAGGCCCAGCCCTCACCCACCGTCTTGTGGGGTGTGTGCCACAGAGCTCGGCATTCTCTCCGCTCCTCTTTAATATTTACGTGCAGCTGCCGGGCGAGATGAGCCATCACTGTGGATCAAGGTACCTGCAGTACCTGCTGGAGATGCCCGTGATGCTGTGGCCACCCTCTTGGGGTGCCCGGAGGCCATGGGGGCCTGGATGGGGGGGGACAGCAGGTTTTGATTGAACCCTGGCAAGAACAAAGAGCTTTGGGCACCCGAGATTCGGATTTTGTCCTCTTTAGTTCGGAATGGGGTGGCGCCTCCCCGGATGGGTCTGGTCCACAGCTTGGGGGGTTCTCCTGGACTCACGACTCCTGCTTGAGGAGCAAGTAGCAGCCGTGGCTGGGAGAGCCTGTGTTGTGCAGCAGATGTGGCTTCTCCTGGATCAGGACTCCCTGCACTCAGTCGTTCCAAGCCCTTGTCACCTCACGCCTCGACTACCGTAATGCGCTCTACAAAGGGCTACCTTTGAAGAGCGTTCGGAAGCTACAGCTGATGCAAAGGGTGGTGGCATGGGAACCACGGCTCTGCTGCATTAGAGTTGCTGGTCTGCTGCCAGGTGCAATTCAAGGTGTTGGTGGTCACCTTTAAATGGGTCCAGGTTATCTGAGGGACCATCTCACCCCACTGGGATTGGCCCACCCCACCTGACAAGTGGGCTGTCCAGTCTCTTCTCAAAAGGCTCCAGCGATGGGGCACCCGCGGCTTCCGGAGGCGTTCCCTGCGGGTTAGTTGTTCTCGCTGCAGGTTTCTCCTTGGTTCTAGGTTAAGATAAGCATGGAGCACAATGGTGAAAGCAGCCAACGGCCCAAACCGGGGTCAAACCCTAGTGAGCCCTTATCTTTTATCCAGGGGGCTCCCACAACGCCCTGGCCCTGCACTGCGGGAGAACCCCCAAGCAGATCTTCGCCCTGTCAACGCTGCAAATACTGTATATTCTTGCTTTGACAATATATGCAGAACTGTCTGGTATTTTTATAGTTAATGCAGAGCAGAGGAGGGAGGGTATCAACGCTGCTAATATTGAATATTCTTGCTTTGACAATATATGCAGAACTGTCTGGTATTTTTATAGTTAAATCAGTTGACAGTGAAAGGGGAGGCGAATATAAGGAAAGCCCAGGAAAAAGAAATGGAAGTGAATCTTTGCCCTCCACGTTAATTGGAAGATGTGAATCATGACCCCAAAATAGGGGAAGGGAAATGCCTGGAATGTTATGGGCAAAGGAAGGGAAATTCAGATCTTAGCATTTCCACCATGCCGTGCTGACATCTCTGTTATACTAATAAAGGCTTTTTAGGCTAAAAAAATGCCTGAAAGTTCTTTGAAATGTTTCGTTAATCAGACACATGACAGAGGGGGGAACAGCCTGCGAAAACAGAAAGGAAGGGAATCTTTGCCCTTAACACTGATTGGTGAATGTAAATCATGACAGCAAAATAGGGAGTGGAAATGCTAGCAAAATAACTGCTTGGTGAGTGGGGATTTTAGATCTTAGCATACATTCGTTATGCTGTGCTGACATTTTGTAACATAATAAATGACTTTTAGGAAAATCAGTGCCTGGAAGTTGTTTGAAGTGTTTTATTAGCCGGAACCATAACATCATGCTAAGATCTCAATCCTTTCCAAACGACCTGGGGTCCTGAACTCCATCCACTGCCTCTAACCTTGAGAGGAGCTGGTAAAGATACAGGGGAAGAAAATCTATCATGAGAAAAGGGAATTTGCTTGAAGACCCAGCAGCTACTGGTAACCCAGGGTGGGAAGCAACAGACAGCATGCTGTGGGAAGATGAATTCTGGCAGACCTTCCAGTTGGAAGCAAAGACTTCAAAAGCTGATTGGTACGGAGCTAATGAATGGCCTGCTACTCAAACTTTGGGTGAGTCACTGGAAAGATTTCAAACCCCAGATGTGAAAAGCAGAAATCAATTGCTGCAGAGAGAAGCCTACAGCCCCTCCCTCGTAGATCAGACCCTGGGTTTCCCAACCCGGGACTGCAGTCCTGAAGACAGAGGGAATCCCAGACTGAGACCTCTGCAGCAATGGCCAGATTGGCAACCCCCCCACACACACAGACAGATGATCAGCAGCAACTGAGCATACCACAGCTAATAGAGGCCTTGCAACAGCTTGGGGTGGTGCAGAAGCCAAGAGAGCAACAGCTGATGGGCCCACAAATGAGGGAGGTTCAGCAACAACTCCCACTCATCCAGCAACCAATGAGAGGCCTGCAGCAGCAGGGGGTACCACCAGCCCCTGTTGGCCAGCAGCAGAGAGCTCAGCAGCTGGTGGATCAACAGGCAGGATGGGGCCAACAGCCCCAGTGGGGGCCGCAACAGCCTGTATTGGCACCACCTTTCAGAGCAACCGTCGATGGGGACCCAGAGAAGCTGGTTTTTTTTCTCAACCAAGTGCGTTCTCATTTGAATCGCTGGGCCTATCTCTATCCGGACCCAGGTGCCATGGTCGATGTTATTGCATCCAACCTAGAGGGAGAAGCATCTGAATGGCTGAATAATTTATATAGTGAGCAAGCCCCCGAACTGGAAGATCCCCACCTTTTTCTCCTAGGACTGAGAGAAAGATTTGAGGACCCATCCATTGCCCTCAAAGCAGCAGAACAGATCCACAGAATAAAACAAGCAGGCAGGCTTGCCCTGGAGTACCTGCAAGAGTTCCGCAAGACAGCAGGACAAATAGAGGGGTGGCCTGAGCAAGTCCTGATCCAACACTTCACTGAGGGATTAGACCAGTGGTTCTCAAACTTTTTAATGCTGCGACCCCCAACCGCTCGTAAGTCGAGGACTACCCAACCGGTCGTAAGTTGAGGACTTTCCATGCCCGGGAGCGCTGTGCATGTGTCGTGCCGCCCCCTGCGCCAGCCAAGGCGTAGCTGGCAAGCAGCAGAGACGGAGCAGGTCGATCACCGGCTGGGCCACCAGCTGGCCCAGCCCAAGGGAGGTAAGGCACTCACTGGGCCCCACGCGTGCCAGCAACCCTCCCTGCGCCCACTGGCCCCCCACCTCTCACCCCTGGCCCTCTTTTACTTACATTTTTAGTAGTTGCTCAGCAGGGAGGGGTGGAAATTTCCAGACAGCTCGCCTTCGCTGCAGACAACTTGCAGCACCGTTTGCAGAATGGGATTTTTGGCGGGCTCAACAGGGCAGAGACAGCCTGGACAATTCGTATTGGCTTTTGAAAGCCAATAGAATTAGACTCTATTCAAGAGAGTCTATTCTATTGGCTTTCAAAAGCCAATAGAATAAAAGGGAATAGCACAGCTAAGGAAAAGGGGAAAAAAATGGCGGACTGCGTTGTTTGGTGATCCCCGTGAAATGGTTATTCGACCTCAAATGGGGTCACGACCCACAGGTTGAGAACTGCTGGATTAGA